TCTAGAGCAGATTGGGTTCTTATTACAGTGAGGAGTGTACTTGCTGTGTTTTGAAAGAGAACAGAACGGTTATTTGTTAATTGCTGGAAAAGCTTTAAGGCAGGGGTGCCCGGTTAGTGGCCTGGTACTGGGCCATGGCTTTGGCAGGACTGGGACATGGAGACAGATCTTCCCCCTCCCCCACATGCACTCCCTACACGCACGCACCCTGCCCACCCACGAGCATGCACCCTGCCTACCCGTGAGCACAGTGCTGCCTCGCCCCGCCCCAACCGGTCCGTGGTTCGGAAAAGGTTGGGGACCACTGCTTTAAGGCATTCTGTGTATTTTCCAAGTTAGTAAGGCCAAATAAGCCCCAGTGCTCTAATCTGTATAAGATATTATCTTAGAACTGCAGAACTGGAAGGGACCCTATGGATCACCAAGTCCAGCCTGTGACAGGGAAGAATAAAGCGGAATCGAACTCCCAGCCTCTGGCTTCACAGACAATACTAGACCACTGAGCTATACAGTGGTGCCTCGCACAACGATGTTAATTGGTTAAAAAAAAACGTTCTGTGAAAACATCGTTCTGTGAAACACCATTTCCCATAGAGATGCATTGAAAACCGGGTAATTGGAACGGATTGCCGTCCTTAAGCGAAAATCCCCATAGGAAACATCGTTGTGTGAAACAGTGTATCCACCATTCAAATGCATTGAGTAGGCTTCAAGGCATCTCAATGGGGGAGGAAAAAAAATTCAGCCCAGAAGGAGCGTGGTGGCCGCCCCTGCCTGCCGTTGGGTGCCTGACGGGTCCCTTTGTTCTCCTTCTGGGCTGGCTGGCTGGCTTCCTCCTCCTTCCTCGCTCCCATGCTGGCTGGCTTTGTTCTGACTCTTTTTAAATTTATTGTTGATTTCCCCCCATTGAGATTCATTGAATAGGTTTCAATGCATTTCAGTGGGGGAATCGCGTTTTGATTAGCGATGTTTCCCATGGAGATTTTTGAATAGCGACGGCTATTCGTTCCTATTGGAACGCATTAGCCGGCTTTCAATGCATTTCAATGGGAAACCGCGTTTTGAATAGCAAAGAAATCCAATAGCGATGTTTTTTGCGGAACGGATTAACATCGCTATTGGAGGCACCACTGTATAGGTTTCTCAGGAGGTAGATAAGGTGATCGGGCACTCCCATTTCTTTAAGGACTTGCCATAGTTTTCTGTGGTCCACACAGTCAAAGGCTTTTGCATACTCAGTGAAGCAGAAGTAGATGTTTTTCTGGAATTCTCTGGCTTTCTCCATAATCCAGCGCATGTTAGCAATTTGGTCCCTAGTTCCTCTGCCCCTTCGAAATCCAGCTTGTACTTCTGGGAGGTCTCGGGCCACATACTGCTGAAGCCTACCTTGGATGATTTTGAGCATAGCCTTGCTAACGTGGGAAATGAGTGCAATTGTACGGTAGTTGGAGCATTCTTTGGCACTCCCCTTCTTTGGGATTGGGATGTAGGCTGATCTTTTCCAGTCCTCTGACCACTGCTGAGTTTTCCAAACTTGCTGGCATATTGAATGTAGCACCTTAACAGCATCATCTTCTAAGATTTTAAATAGTTCAACTGGAATGCCATCACCTCCACTGGCCTTGTTGTTAGACACGCTTTCTAAGGCCCACTTGACTTCGCTCTCCAGGATGTCTGGCTCAAGGTCAGCAACCACACTATCTAGGTTGTCCAGGATATCCAAATCTTTCTGGTATAGTTCCTCTGTGTATTCTTGCCACCTCTTCTTGATGTCTTCTGCTTCTGTGAGGTCC